TATGTGCCAACCAAAAGAAACCACACTCACTGCTGTTGAGTTGGTACTGACTCATAGTGACCCCTCCTTGAGTTTCTGAGGCAGTACTTTCTACAGAAGTAGATTGCCCAGTCTTCCTTCTGAGGAGTGGCTGGTGGGTTTGAACCACCAGGATTCTGCTTAGCAGTCAAATGCCTTAGGCATTACGCCATCAGAGTGCTTTATGTTTATTAATTAATTTCATTCTTAGGTATCATTGACAAACTAGTGTTAGTTCTAGGAAAATAAGATGATGGTATTGATAGAGGTGGTAAGAGACTGAGGATGGGAGCTGAGTTCTGAAAACCATGTTGACTGGAGCTAGGAAGACTGCAGGAAGAAATGATATTTATTTTCAAATTCAAACAACATTATCATGTAGAAGAAATATGAAACTTATTTGCGGAATACTAAAATTAGAGAAAGATTTAATGAGTCAGAGTTTCAGACTTTGACTTGAGTTTCTGACTTGGGTGTTTCTGAAACATTCTCAGGGAAGGGCTCAATAAAGTTAAGAGTCACTTAAACATCAAGATGATTTTAAAAATGGTATCATTTCCTTATGGGGGATTAGATGCTCATACACTTAAGTACTTCCTGAAAGATCTCAGATGCAAGAGATATTGTGGAAGGGGTCCCTGCACAGGGTAGGAACTGATCTAGCAGATCAATTCCAAGTCTAAGAGTCTATGACTAATAAATTAGTGTTAGGTAGATACCTTTGACTCTTGGGTAGGTATCAAAGGAGCCTTGGAGGCACAGTGGTTAAGTGCTCTGCTGCTAAGTGAAAGGTCATTGGTTCAAACCCACTAGCCACTTCCTGGGAGAAAGATGTGGCAGTTTGCTTCCGTAAAGACTTATGCCCTTGGGAACCCTATGGTGCAGTTCCACTATGTCTTATAGGCTCTCTATAGGTTGGAATTCAATTCAACAACAATGGGATTGGTTTTGGTATTGATGGGCTGAGTAATGCGACTGCTATTGGCATCTAATATTTGTTGCCTTTAGCCATGTCCTATCACCTCAAAGAGGCAAGGTATATGTTTGGCAACCGCCACCCAACCAGGCTTTCTAGGCTCCATTTTCCTCCTAGTTCCCTCTGATGGTTCCATACCCCTCTCAAAGCAGCCCATTCAGGAATGCTTGCTACAGAAATGCCCCATAGCTACAATTAATCTCATTTCTACCTCAGCCTCTGTAAAATTGGAAAGAAAAAAAAAAAAGTCAATTTTTGTCATTGTAAGTCTGGTTTTTATTCACTCATAAGGGACAAATGGGTGTCCATTATGCTTAACTATTTCTGAAGGCAGGATCACCGAAGCCAACAGGACAGGGGTTAATAATGTGGCATTCTTTTATTGAGAAGTCGTCAACCTCTTCTTCTTATTTTAATTACCTTTATCGATAGCCTTATAGTATGCTGGATTGTTGTTGTTTGTTGTTATGTGCCATCGAGTCAGACCTGACTCATAGCGACCCCTCCTTGGGTTTCCGAGGCTGTATCACTACGGAAGTACATTGCCCAACCTTCCTTCCAAGGAGTGCTGGTATGTTAGAATGTTAGAAAAAACTTCTTCAATTAGAGATTCCAGATTCCATGGGGCAGTAGAGCTTCCACCCAGGGGCTAGAAAAACTGACGTATAGCCCCGACCACCCTCTATTCCCAATCAGCAGAAAATTCCAAAGCAAAACCCAAACTCACTGCATTCGAGTCGATTCTGACTCATAGTGACCCCCACTGGCTTTCCAAGGCTGTAAATCTTTTCACAAGCAGACTGCCCCATTTTTCTTACACAGAGCGGCTGGTGAGTTTGAACTGCTAACCTTCTGGTTAGCAGCCACTGCACCACCAGAGCTCCTTCAGGGGAAGATTATAAAGAGAAAATACAAGATTAGGAGTGAGGGGGAAAATTAAATTTAAAAAAAAAAAAAAAAAGAGGAGCAGAAAAGATCAGAAACATGAAAAATTGGACTTGAGCTCCAACGTGGGGAAAAAGTGATATAAAAATAAGGAAGGAAACAGTCCTTTGACAGGAGGCACTATATGAAAGGGTTAATTGAAAAGAAAAATCTCCACCCACATTACAAGATGGATGAGTCTAAAGATAGAAGTATTGGACCCAGGCAAATGACAGAAGTCCAAAGGTGATGAATCGCACGGACTGGCATCTTGAACTTAACATCTTTCCTGAGAAGGTTTCAGCTGTGGTTTAGGCAGCTATTGTGTGCTGGGTGACAGGAGACAGCATGGAGATAGATACTGTGGCTTCAATGCATTTCATGCTTTTAATGGGAAATTGAATCCATTTTCTCCAGATGGGTACCCTTAGATTGGATACAGGTAAGAACTACCTCTCAGCATGAATAAGATAAACCCCTCTCAGCAAGAGCAACATAGAAATGCACACGAAAGCTAATTTGGCTTTATCTTTTGAAATGGTGGCTTTCTGTTGAAGGAAACAGGAAGCTTTTTCATCGTTAAAACAAAACAACAAAAAAATTGTTTTTCTAACACTGTGTCAGACCAAATCCTGCTGAACAGAAAAAGCCTATGCAGGATGTAAAAGAGTTGCCCCTATCGTGGGAGGAAGGCACCAGGCATAGACAAGACCAGAGAAGAGAGGGACATGCATCTCCCTACTAGCAGGCATGACTCAGGAAGCTACAGCCTACATCTCTTCCTTGAAGCTGGGCACATGCACCAAATTCTAGAGGAAAGAAACATCTGGAAGTTTGAGGGATTTAGGCTTAACCCTTGGCAACAGGATGATGGCTCCCTTTAAAAACAACTTTTCTCAAACTTGGGAGCAGTGACACAAACAGACACATGTACCCCAATGTTTATTGCAGCACTACTCATAACAGCCAAAAGGTAGAAACAACTCATCTCCATCAACAGAAGAATCGGTAAACAAAATGCGTTACAGACATCCAACGGAATATTGTTGTTAGTTGCTGTCATGTTGATTCCAACTAATGGTGACCACATGTGCGCACAATAGCACTACTCCATAGGGTCTGAAAGCTGTGACCTTTCACAAGTAGTCTTCCAGTCCTGTTTTCCGAGGAGCCACTGGATGGATTCAAACTGCCAACCTTTCGGCTAGTAGTCAAGCGCTTGACTGTTTGCACTACTCAGGGACTCTCAATGGGATATTAACTCTGTCACTGATTGATGTAATTGATCTCCCTGAGTTATATGCATGGAAAATGTTGAGTTGGCAAATGTTTGGTTACCTATATTTTACAACAATTAAACAAGAGCTCACAACTTGTCTTGATGGAAAGATCAGGACATAATTGGGGGGGGGGGATCTGATTGTGACAAACATTTCCAGGAGACTTACCTGTTTAGAAGGCATGATCCCAAACAGGGGGAACATTAAAGCAGGCAGAAGAGCTGTCACCGACAGAGGCAAAGCTTCTGTGAGCCAAAGGACAGCAACAACAAAGAGTGTGTAGGCACATTCTGCTTCCTGTAAGGAAGGACGGCAAAACACTGGTGAGGAAAAGAGGCAGGGAGGTCGCTGTGCAAATCACAACCTTATTTGGCACATGAAGCCCCATCAGAGACCAGATAAGAAGAAACTCTCAAGACCTCTGCACCTTCAAGTGGAGCATAAAGTTCTATGAGCTTTCTCAGAGGTTCTATGAGCCAAGTTTCAGAAACATGAAAAGCAAGCAAGAAAAATATGCTCAATTATTCAGTTCCCTTCACATTTCCTTCTAGGCAGAACGTGCTGACACCAGTATACACGGATGTTTATGCCTACTTCTGTTTGGCCTGTGAAATGCACTCCCAGTTCTCTGGGAGTCCAGAAATTGCCAAGTCACAACCTTTTGCTGGGGCAGGGTGCACACCTGCCTTTTAATTGCATTCCTCGGTGCTTGTTTGGGTGTGGCCCCTAATCACCTTCTTTCCTCCCTTTTCAGCCAACCAGGACACAATTTAACCAAGGGGTAAAACTTTTTGCTGGACTTTGTCTCAGAGAAATAAGGACAGTGCCAGATGACATGGTATGGATGAGCCCTGAATGTGAAGAGCCCTTTTTCTTGCTTCTTGTGAGAGACAACTGAGCTTCTGGACCCTCCCAGGGTGATGCAACGGGAACGAGACTGTTAATAGAATCTGTTGTTTTGCTGAGGGTAACACTGTAGGTTTCTGTTTTGGGACACTGCTCGTTAGTGATTGAAATTTATCCATCTATATGACTGCTAACCAGAAGGCTGGCGGTTCAAACCCACTAACCACTCCTTGGGAGGAAGGCTGGGCAATCTACTTCTGTAGAGATACTGCCTCAGAAACCCAAGGAGGGATTGCTATGAGTGAGGACCCACTTGATGGCTGTAAGGTTTGGTTTTTTTTTTTTTTTTTTTGGTATATGTATATACATACTTGGCTTACATAAATAATTTTTATATGAAATCACCTGGAACATAGTACATCATCACTAAAGGTTAGGATATATTTATGGCTTTATTTTGCTCTCATACTGCTTAATCTCCATGAATTCTGAGTAGCATCTGAACAATTAAAACAAAAATTGTTGTTTGTGTTTAATGTGATTGTCTTAGCTATCTAGTGCTGCTATAACAGAGATACCACAAGTGGATGGCTTTAACAAACAGGAAGTTTATTCTCTGACAGTTTAGGAAGCTGCTGTTGTTGTTATGTACCATCGAGTCGGACCCGACTCATAGCGACCCCTCCTTGGGTTTCCGAGGCAGTATCACTACGGAAGTAGATTGCCCCATCTTCCTTCCGGGGAGTGGCTGGTGGGTTTCAACCGCCAGCCTTCTGGTTAGCAGTCAAGTGCCTTAGCTACTATGCTACCAGAGAAGTTCAAATTCAGAGTGCTGGCTCTAGGGGCTGGGTGAAGGCCCCCCAACCTTGGGCTTCAGCTCTTTTATTCCAGACCCACTGGAGCAGAGGGCATCTCTTAACTCAGGAAGCTGCTAGCTCCTGAGACTCACGAACCCAAGGTCGACAAGTAGAACGGCACAAACACAAGATCAACAGGCACACAGCAAGCCCCTCGTTCAGGTCCAGGAACTAGTGATAAAGACTTGGCCAAATGCAGAATCCAAAATGTGCCAAAGGACTAGAGACTTTCCTCAACGCCTCCCCATATGTACTGGAAGCAGACCACATCCCAAAGGCAACTAATCAGCTGCTCACAACAGACTCCACCATGAAGTTGATTGTTATCTCATCTTGGGAAATAATTGTATCCAGCTGCCCAGCCACTCAAACCATGGCCCAGCCCCTCAAAACCACAGTCCAGTCAAGTTGACACATAACCATAAGTACCACATTCTATCCCTAGTCAACTTGGTACCTGTACACATCATCACTGGGTGGCCCAAGGCTCCTCCTAATCCACATGAGTGGTGACCTCAGCCCCTTGGCCTGGTAGCCCCACTCCCTCACTTTTGGGCAGTGGATATGGCCCCATTCTGCTGGCACTCCTGAATAGCAACCCCACACTCCAGAACTGCGTGAAGATCTGACTCTTTGAAACCTAGGAGACTATGCTGGTTCCACCCCAGAACCCAGGGGTCCTACCCTTTGAGAGTGAGACATCTCTGCTTTTCCTTGGTCTCTCAAAGAAGCCAGCCCAGCCTCTGCCCTGTTCCAGAAAGTACTACAAAGTCTTCAGCTCTACCAATTAGTGCCCAAAGGCAATCCACTCTGCCAGGAAGTCTCCTGCTCAAAAACATTCAGCTTTCTCTCAGTCCATGGGCTGGCAAGTCCATCACTCCGTCTTATGGTGGTCTCTCTGCCATGGTCTCAGTGCAGGGATCTTGGGTCCAGGGATGCAGTCCACTCCTGTTTCCACATTTTAGGTATCTGTTAGAGCAGCACTGCCGGCCAAACGCAGGGTTCAGATGTGCCCAAAACTAGGCACCTTCCTCCAAGCTTCCCCATCTCTACCAGAAGCAGGTCACACCCTGAAGGCAACTACTTAGCTGCTCACGGCAGATTCCACCATGCAGTTGTTTCCAATCTCATTTTGGGGACTAAGTACATGTAGCTGCCCAGCCATTCAAAACTGTGGCCCAGCCAAGTTGACACACAACTTTAACTACCAGAGTGATCTTTTATTCCCAGGCTGAAACAATTTCTAGCTCTGAATCACATACCGCAAGTGAGTCCTCAGGCCTTGTTATTCATTAATACAGCCTCCCTACTTGACTGCTAACCAGAAGGCTGACAGTTCAAACCCACGAGCCACTCCTTGGAAGGAAGATGGGGCAATTTACTTCTGTAGTGATACTGCCTCGGAAACCCAAGGAGGGGTTGCTATGAGTCAGGTCCGACTTGACAGCACATAACAACAACAACAAAAACCCTTGCAATGGGTTTTTAAGAAATCCCTAATAAAATAGGATTATGTCGTATTTTTATTGTGTTGTCTTTTTAAAGAGAAAGAATAGAGGTATTTTGATGTTGACAGTTTTATATAGAGTCTACCTCCATACTCTTGACAAACAATAAAACAGCCAAACAAAGCTGAGCCTTGACTGAACCTTCCGAACTTGCTCTGCAGAAAATGTGTCAATGTCAGTTTAATTTAAAATGTCAGCATAGGCCAAAGACCAGGCCATGTGTTTTCTCTTGGTGTGAACACAGAGATAATCCAAAGGCCCCTTCTTAAGACTTTATGTTCTATCATACTTGCAAGATCCTAGCTTTCAAAGATAAAATGCCTTATACCCTAGCCTCCACCAACCAGTCTCTGGGTTCTATTTCCCTGCCACTTTGTCAATGTGAATGAAACAGTTCCTGTTACCTGACATTAAAAGAAACAGGAAAAAGAAAATATTGAAGTACTAGAGCTTTCTAACAGTGTATCTTTTAAAAATATTTTTGTAAATCGTAAATTATTCAACACATAGAAAATAATATAACAAGCACTCCTCTATACTTTATCATATTTAACAAATGTTGATATTTTGCCTCATTTGCTTGAGGTATTTTAATAAGTGAAACATTCCACACACAGTTAAAGACTGATGAGGACCTCTCCCTCATTTCTTTCTACTCTGATCATGCCAGAGTCAACCACTGTCCAGAGTATGTTATGTTTCCTTTCTGTCCATGCTTTTTGTAATTTAACCACATGTAGACATTAACAAACAACATATAAGCTTAAAATTATATAGTTTACTGTATATATCACTTGAAACTTGCTTTTTTTCACTCAATATTTGATGTATTGCAAATGTATTCATGTTCATACATATATGCCTACTGTTAATTCATTTAAAATTATTTCTTTTTATGTATTTATTACAATTTATTTGCCCATTTTTCTACTGACTCCTCTTAGGTTTTTTTCTTCCAATTTTCACTATTACCATGCTACGAGCATCTTTGTAACAAGCTCTTTGTGACTATAAGAGAGCATATTACTAGAATTTCTGGGCTTGAGGATGGATACATTTTTACTTTACTGGTCATGGCCAGTAAAATTTCTTTCCAAGATGTTTGTACCAGTCCACATTGGCACTGACAACATGAAAGAGGTCCCATTGCTCTATATTTCACCAACCCTTGGTATACTGGAGTCATTTGTTTATTTAATTATCTGATGGTATGAAATTTATTTACATTTGCTTGAATACCAGCATGACTATTGAGAATAATTGTTTTTCTTCTGCAAATCACCAGTTAATAATTTGTTTTTCATTCTTCTCTTGGGTTGTTTATCTCTTTTTCTCTCATAGCTTTGTAGAGTTGTTTCTATATTTCTAATATTTCTTTACAAGTTACATATTTACAAATATCTTCATTTCATTACTGACTTATTTTTGAAATTTGTTTTATTATATATTTGGCTGACCAGAAAATTTCAATTATAATACAGTGATTTTAAAATCTTTTCTTTTCTAGTTCATGTTTTCACCATCTTGTATGTGAAACCTTCTTATATTTTACTATATATTTTCTAAAGTTTAAATATTTTCACTTCAGTCTTCTCCTTACTTGTAAAGGTATCATACATACATATATATTTTTTTCTCTTTCTCTAAATGACAAAGTGCCCTAAAAAAAAAACCACTCCCTGCCATTGAGTCGATCTGACTCATAGCAATCCCTCCTTGGGTTTCCAAGGTCCAACTTTTCCCCACTAATTCATATCACAATATATTTCCTAAATGAAATTCCTACAAATTTATTAACGTTTCTGAGCTTTTAATTTTGTTTCCCCTTCTAAATTCAGTTCCTACAGAACTATCAAACTTTTAAAACTACTATAGTTATTTAAAAAAATTTATGATCTGTAAGGAAAGTCCCTCAGGTAAATATTTTTCAAACTTGTCTTGGTAGTCTTAGGCTTTCACTCTTTCTTTTGAGTTTTATAATCACAATTTCAAGTTCTGCACAAAAAAAAAAAAAAAAAAAATTGAATTTTTATTAGAATCATATAGAATTTATAGACCAAAGACTAACATGAAAATATTCCCATCT